TATAAAATATAATTTATTTATTTATTAATTAAATTTATATCTAGACAGGGCTTTTTAATATTATTATCTTTAATTAAGAAAATTAATTCATAACTAATTTTTAAAATAAATTATGCTAAATTCTATAGATTAAATTAAAATTTTTAATAATATATTATCCACAGATTAATAAATAAATAAAAATTATTAATTAATATATAATCTAATAATTTATTTTATTTATTAATTACTTCCAGAATAACTAATCAGAACTATTATTATTTATTAATTTTATTATTACAGCTCTACTTTATAAATCTACTAGATTATCTTTATTTATAATTAAGAAAAAATATAAATTTTAAATATTATTTAATTAGATTTTTCTAGTAGATTTATTATTTTATACTATTATCTGAGACTAAGCCTGTGAATTTACTTATTATATAAAATAAATCTAGATCTTTATATAAAATAAAATCTAGAAAATATAGAGCCAGTAAATATAATAAACTAATTAATTTTATTATTCTATTAATTTTAATATTAGTAATAAAATTTTTATTAATATTTATAATTAGAAATAAAACCAGCCCTTATAAAAGCTATTAGAAAACTAGTATAATTCTATATTTATTATTAATAAAATTAATAATATTTATAAGATTTACCTTCCTGAGAATATATATATATACTTTATTTTCTATTCTAAAAAACTCTACTTATATAATATATTTAATTTATTACTAAAACAGATTTAAGACGCTGCTATATTTATTAAAATTAATAATTAAATAAAATAAAAAATTAAAAATATTCTAACCAGCTGTTTATAATATAATTATCTTTAATATAAAATTAAATAACTAGTATTTAATACAGCTAATTATATTTAATATCTAGTAGGAAATTTCAAGAATATCTTCTTTTATCTTTAAAATTATTATATAAAATATTCTATTTATTCCGGATCTTCTAAGTATCTTTTATAATAGTTAATAATTATAAAGGCCAATAAATTTATACTAGATTATAAAGAAAATAATTTATCTCTGGCTGAGAATAGCCAGACTTAAATAAAAGAATAATATAATAGTAAGTAATATCTCAGAATTATATAACTTTTATTTTATTTATTTTATTTATCTGTCTTATATAACTTATTTATCTTTATATAATTATATATTCTTCCTGAGCTTCTTCCTTTCTTTCCTCATGCTAGAAATTCTCGTTAAATAGCACTAAATTTGACTATTTGATTAGCTTCCACAAAAAATATATAACTTAAGCATAATAAATATTATTAAATAATAAGTATATTTAATTTAATCTTTCCAGGTAGATTAGGATTCTTAAGATCTATAAATATATTAATATATTAATTTATATAATACTTATTAAAGTAATATTTATAATTATAATACTTATTAGAGTAACACTTATTATTATAATATTTATTTTTATAATATTTAATAAACTCAATTAGGCTTAGTACCTGTGAAAAAGTATATTAACCTGATTTAAATTTTTATTATATATACTAATCTAATTAAATTTCTATTATATATATTAAATAAATTCAGAAGTATATATTATTATTTTTAAATACTTATAACTCCACAGAGTAATTAAATAAAGAAATAAAAGTTATAATATTATATTTCTTATAGAAAGTCCTATTAAATAATATTATTTAAAAATTTATCAGATATCATTTAACTGTTGTCCCGTTGTGACGATTTCCCTACTAGAATTGATTATTTATAATACTTAATCTTATAATATTTAATAGTTCTAATATAATATAACTGAGCTGCTTAGTAGAGTTAACTATTTATAATATTTAATCATATAATACTTAATAGTTCTAATATAGTAGATCCAGCCTGCTCAGTAAGGGTGATTATCTATAATATACTAATTCTATATTAATATATTAATTAATAATAGACAGGTAAATCAGGTAAGTAATAAATCTAAATTAAAAAATATAGTTTAATACTTAATTAATATTATCTACAATACTATGACTTCTCTAAAACTAGAATAAATTATTTTAAATCTATTATACACAGTATGGTACAGATAATTATAAAATATAGAATTTTATTTATTATTTTTTTATTAAGATATATTTTTTATTTCTGCTTTAATCCTGGTCCCTTCTAGCTTTATAAATATTAAATATTTAAATATATTATTTTTTTTTATTTTATTTTATATTTATCTATTCTTTATTTTCTAATTTCTATCTTTCTTTTTTTAATCTTATCTATTTATCTCTTTTTCTCTGTTTTATAAAGCTCTCTTAATTATTATAAGGACACAAATCCTTATAACTGTCGCGATAACTTAATCGCGAGGAATATCCATACTGATAGCAGTCCTATCATGAGGCTCGGCTAGTGTTTATCACATGACCCACAAGCTACCCGCGAATACACTACTATTCGCGGATAGAGAAAGAAGGTAGTTAGCAATAATACTTTAAAAAAATCGACCCTACGTTTTGTGTTCACGAATAAGACATATTCTTCACACTATTTCATTATATTCACCCTTATAATTATAATATAATTATATATTGTTTATTATCTTTATACTTAATCTATTTTTTATTGCTTTTTTTTAATTTTTTATAGCCTTTTGGCCCTTTTCTCTTTTTTACCTTGCTAGCTGTATGGAGAGAAAAAAGAATAAAATAAATTAAAAAAATAGAAAATATATGTAATATATAATATAAGAATTTCTAATATTATAAGAATATTTTTATCTGCTTTATTATTTATATTATAAAAGTATTTTTATTTAATATACTATTTATTCCCTGCAAGAAATTACAGAGATTTAAGTAATAATAGAATTATTATTTTTTTCTTTTTTTATAATCTCTGTTTGTATAGAGAGACAAGCTGATAAAGTATATTAAGAAAATAAAAAGTTTTTGTAATAAAAGAAAGAACTTCTATTATTATAAAGATATTATTATCTGCTTTAAAATCTGTTTTTTACAGAATTATAAAGATAGAAAGAGATTTTTTAATATTATAAAAGTACTGCGACCTGCTTTATAATCTATTTCCTACAGAAATTATAAAAATTTAAATAATAATAAGATTATATTTTTTTTTATAATTTCTGCCCGCATGAAGAGACAAGCTGATAAAATATATTAAAAAAATAGAAAGTCTTTATAATAAAAGAAAGGATTTTTATTATTATAAAAATGCTGCTACCCGCTCTATAATTTATTTTTTATAGAAATTATTAAGATTAAGAATAATTATTATAATATAAACTCAGCAGTTGTATAGAAAGATAAACTAATAAAATATATTAAAAAAATAAAAAATCTTTATATAATAAAGATTTTTTATAATATAGCAGTTATTACCTGTTTTATTATCTAGTAATTTGACAAGATTATAAAAATTAAAATATAATAATAGATAAATTATCTTTCTTTTTTTTTATTTTTTTAATAATTTCTTTTTAACTTATTAGTTACAGGAAAGATAAGAGAGCTAGATATATTAAGAAAAACAGTATTATAAATAAATATAGTATTAGTTTATATACTAATCTTTATATTTTCTCTAAAAAAAATATTACCCGAGTGCAAGAACTGTAAAAAAATTATTAATAATTATATTATTTTTTTTATTATCTATTAGTTCAGCAGGATCATATAAATTTAATTATATTAATATAATATTATTTTTTAAATTTTTATTTTATTTTTATATTATTATTATCTTTATAGTCTGCAGGCTAGAATATAATCTTTATTTTTTTATAACTAGCTATAAGTATATATATAAATTATTATATATTAATATTATAAAAAGAAATATCTCTTAAAAATATATAACTTAGATATAATAATTATTATTAAATAATAAATATATTTAATTTAATCTTTCCAGGTGGGTTAAGGTTCTTAAAATTTATAAGTATATTAATATATTAATTTATATAATACTTATTAAAGTAATACTTATAATTATAATATTTATTAGAGTAATACTTATTATTGTCATATTTAATTTTATAATATTTAATAAATTTAATTAGACTTAGTACCTGTGGAAAAGTATACTAATCTAATCTAAATTTTTATTATATATATTAATCTAATTAAATTTCTATTATATATATTAACTGAATTTAGAAATATAAATTACTATTTTTAAATATTTATAATTCCACAGAATAATTAAATAAAGAAATAAAAATTATAGTACTATATTTCTTATAGAAAGCTTTATTAAATAATATTATTTAAAAACTTATCAGATATCATTTGACCATTGTCCCGTTGTGACGATTTCTCTACTAGAAAATCTATATCTTCATGAACTTCAATGTTTGTATTTGATCCATACCATCGCTTCATATCGTCGCGCGTTGATACAAGCCGAATGACTGGCTGGAAAAATTTGGGCTCGGTGAAGGCGATCTTTGCTCCACCATTCCAGCAGTGATGTTTCAAACTATTCGAATCCCAGTAAGCCATCTCAAATTTCGGACCGTGGAAGAACCTGAAGCTGCGGAGGAGTCAAAACTCAGGTAGTCTCTTCTGTTAAAGTTCGCACAGGGGGTTTTCCAGCCTAATCTTCTCATTAAACTCAACTTGGGTGCATGTATGCAGCTTGTGTTCATCTTGGAGGTGGTACGGGGATATAGTGCTTGCGACACATAGAATACTCAGGCTGGGATTATGGTTCACCAAGTAGATTGTAAAGAAAGACCTAATAAATATCGCAACCTCATATTATAGTCGAGAAATCAACTAAAGATATGCATTGTGAAAGTGTTTTGGGACTGTTTCAAATATATCAACATGAACGGACTGGAAAGGTCTCCCCTAATCGCTTCCACCTCGATAGCTAACTCACTTTTGAAGGAACCTGGCAGCTAAAGCAAACCAGAAAGCATGAATGTGAACCTTGGTACATTGCCTCCAATGGCTGGCAAAATCACGTTCAAGCGACTGACCTCCATAGCTAGACTCCGCTCGCCTAGAATTCAGTTCGCTGGGCAACGTCTTTCTGCGGCATAAGCCACGGCGCCCTCGTTGAAGTATAAAATTCTACATCGACCCCCTCATTCAATTTCGATGCGTCGGCCAACGTGCCCGCCTGCACCACTTTCAGCCCCTTGAAATTTTCGGCCGTAGCCTCCTTCCACAGCGTGCTTCCGCAATTGGGACAGAAGAATACTGTAAGTGTCATCCCAGACTCGTGGGTCGTAGAGAACGATTTTGGACTTCCTTTCGTAACGCTGAATGCCTTTTCTGGCACTGTATAGTTGAGTGTGTTACTACTGCCGGATATTTTGTGACAAGAGGCGCAGTGACATATAGCCTAAAGAATCAGCTAGCGACTCTAGATGGAGAAGAAGAACGCACTTTGAGCGTCGGCTCGCCCGTGTAGGAATAGGTACATGCGTTGCATAGGCAGCTTCCGGTAGTCGTAGTCATCTTTAAAGTACCTCAAGTGTAGTCTGAATTGAGACTTCTAAACCTGATAACATGAAATGTTGAATGGGGATTGATTTCGGTTCAGCCAGCTATTTATAAGACCTCATCATTAAAATAACGTTTTTGATACTGGGGAGCATGAGGGTGCCTCCACTTTGTTGGTCCTGGGCACTCGTCACTTTGTTGTCAATTTAGGCTAGCTTTCCGAGTTCGTTACATGGATCCTCAAAGCACCCACCAATCTACATCCTTAGCCAATATCGTTCAAGACTATGTCCAGTCACGAATACGAGTTTACCAGTGATTTGCTATACGAAGCCGTTCCGTCTCCAATTTTCTCACTCACACTGATTGTCACCCATGTTATCCTTCCTATTACTTTAACTATTTCACATGCTCTAAGATATCGTCTGCATGCTGCAATGTCACCTGATCTTTATAAGCCAAGTATGTCGGACTATACTACAAGATACTCCATCTCATAGCCAGGGTCACAGGCGAATTCGGTCAACGCCTCCCCAGCGAGGCGTTAGCTCGTGGAATGTTTTTTTGAGGATTAGAAAGCCGATACCCCGAATTCGGAGGCGCTTGAAACATTTCTCAAAGCACATCATATAATGACACCTCTGCACTACGTACTGCGGTCGTAAGGGTGCGATGCGATTGCATGCGCTTACACAAGCGATCCTGAGCTCTACCTCGAGGGTGGTCTCCGTTCAATTTTGCACAGCCGAGGCTGCGAAGGTCAAGGATTTTCTTGCTGCGTCTTGGACTCAGGACTGGACAAATATCTCTTACGGCGACTTTCAGCTTTACGACCCCAATATTGCGTTTGTGGACCAGGCGGCGATGACCAGCACGATAAGACCTCTGCATTTCATCAATGGCACGTTCGCGGAATGGACTATGCCTCTCGACGAGGGCAGACAGATTCGATGTTAGATTTGAGGTGGTATAGATGGTAGATAGATTTACTGGACTACAATGGCTGACGCTGCCGCATATACTGTTCAAACTTATGCAAGAATAAAGGTGTCCAGGCAGGTAATGGCGGCATCTTCCGCGTCCGGTCCGGCGAGCTTACGCTGCTGTGAGATGGCGGCCATTCATAAGAAGGTGACAAGATCCAAGGCGGAGATTGTTCGCAAATGTAGTTTGGAAGATGGAGAAAAGAAGTTTACTGCAGAAAGGAAGAAGGGGCGCCGGACGTTTTGGGAACATCTTCATCTGTCACCGCATGTAGCCGCAGCTCGAGGTTTATGGGAGCTTACCAAGCCGATCACAAACCTTTATTATGCCAAGATACCGACATTCTACGAGGAATACCTCAGTGGGCGATTGGGCATTCCTGAGGTAGTAGAAACAGAGTAGAAGAACACGAGCAGCGTTGTACGTCGGTGAAAATGGTGGTTTAGTTCCCGTGGTGCAAGCAAACAAATTGTCTCGGACTGATAGCTCGATATAATTAGTAACAGTCATAAATGGTCGATTAATGTTGAGAACTCGTCTATAAATCAGGAGCAAGTGACACTGGGGGCCAGAAGAATTGCTTCAATGGTCGGCCTTGAAACCAAGCTAGACCGGTAGGCAGAAAAAGAGATTTCTCTTTAGTCTACAGTACTGGTCATGATATCCAATGTCATTAGGTCAAACAAAGCCGTGCCGTTCATAAAGAATCGCAACTAGTTATCTTCAATGCCTTTCTCGGTGTCTACTTCAGTATCAGCTTACCAATGGGGTACATGTAACTGCCGCTTGAACAGGGATTACCAACTGAAACATGGAACGGCCAGCAGTAGGGGAATATACCAGGCTCGCTCATTAGTGGTTGCGCACTAGGCCGGGAAATGGAGAGTGGTACCCGTCACGATGTTTATAATTGCACTCACTCGATGATTATCATGCAATAAAGCAGTCCAAGGGTGAGGCGTTCAATACCTTGAGTTTTCCTGCTGCAAATGGCTTGCTTGCCACATTACCAACTATTCTATATCTGCTGTTACAATAGACACCACAATATGTGCGCATGTCCAGAAACCCTCACTCTCCTGATCTGCAGAGTCTCAGAAATGCTATTGGCTCCGTTACACCTCTTTGCTAGCTTACACATACTTCTTAGAACAGGTCAGATCAGATTATCAGGTTAAATTAGGATTTTAATCTAATAAACCTGATCCAAATCTGAATAAATCAGATTAAAAAATCTTAACCTGTTCTATGGATTAGATCAGCTAATTAGAATCCAATTTAAGTTCTTAATAGATCAGGTTAGCTAAATTAAAACCCAGCCCGTAGATCAGGTCAAAAACTTTCTTGAACACCTACCCAAGAACCTGACCCGACCCGACAACCCGACCCAACAACCCGACCTGAATCCAACACTACTACCTGCTCTACTACTTATTTCCTGCAGAAATCGCGGAGATTTAGAGAAAATAATAGGATCATTTTTTCTCTTTTTTCTTTCTTTTATAATCTCTGCTATACAGAGAGGCGAGAGGACAAAATATATTAAAAAACTAGAGAACTCCTGCAGTGTAAGGACTTCCAGTACTATAAAGATATTTCTACCTACTTTATTATCTGTACTGTGGGAGTGCTTCTATCTGCTATATTATTTATTTTCTATAGAAATTGTGGAGGTTCAAATATAATAATAAGATGATTTTTTCTTCTTTTATACATTATTTTCTTTTATATTCTACCTTACCAGCTGCACGGAGAGATAAGATGATAAAATATATTAAGAATTTAGAGAATCTTTGTCGTATGAAAGCTTTCTGTATTATGATGATTATTATCCATTTTATTATCTATTAACTCAGCAGAATGATATAAGTTAAAATATAATAATAAATCATTTTTTCTTCTTATTTTTTGTAATCTTTTCTTTTCTTTATTTTACTAGCTGTATAGAAAGGCGAGAGGACTAAATATATTAAAAAAATTAATTTAGATAAACATAGTATTAGCTTATATATTAGTCTTTATATTTTCTTATAGAAAAAATACCACCTGAGTAATAATCAAAGTCTAGAACCAGATATCGTGGTGTAACCAATACCTGCATTTTCCCTAATAGATTCCAATTTCAACTATTCTGGCTTGCCCTCCTCCACTTCTGCCCATAGATTAATATCACCCACACAATGGGGCTCAATATAGTTAGGAGGCCAGCTATCACTGTATAAGCCCACCCAACTCCAATCCTCTGTATTAGGGGTAGAATAAAAGCAGCACTTCCAGCCCCAAGTAAGCATCTCGTAAGGTTGTTTGCTGCGCCTGCTGCTCCGGGCTTGTCAGACAAAAGATCAATGAGAAGAGTACTGAGCACACTAAACGTCGCTGTCGCCGTGAAGCTCAGAAAGAAGAGGAACGTCAAAGTCGCTCCCAGGCTGTGGGCTTTCTGCAAGATCCACCCATAACAAACTAGCAAAGTACAATTAAGATATAGAACAGGCAATGCGACTTGCAATCTTGCAGCTTCTATTGGAAACCCATGCAGGTCAGTGTCGTTATGGCTGTCTGTGACGATTCCTTTCAGGCGCGCATGCCAATGGTAGTTAAAGTTGACCAGCTTTCCCATAACCGCCGCAGCGCCGCAGCTTCCGACTCCCATAGGAATACAGCAAAGGCCGATTTGAAGTTCATTCAATTTGAACTGCGCGGATAGTTGGGAGGGTAGAGCTGCGGCCACAGCTGCCAGGCTCGCAAAAATAAGTCCGCTGTAAAGAAGGATTGCTCCTTCCTCCTTTAATAAACAAATCTTCAGAGAAAGGAGCAGATTAGAGAAGTTGGCACCCCATCCTTTTCTGGTACCGTCTCTGGGGGTAAGTGGAGCGGAGCTGGTCCTAGAGGAAGAGAACACGGGCTGTGGGAAGATCCTTGATCGAGGCGGAGCGAACGACCCGTTTCCCACAATCTTCCTACATGTCTCAGGAATGAACAAAACAAAAACGATGAAGAGGAGGCCCGAAAAAAAGCTAAGAACCAGAATATCCACCGCCAGCTGACAGTGTATACCAGAATTCCTCCAAGGACAGGGCCGACCGATTGGCCGACAAATGCACCTACAAATGAACTTAGAGAGGAAACTAAGAGAAGACTTAAGTTTGTCGCTTACCGGAAAATGTATATCCAATATAGCTACCTCTTTCGGCCGAAGTTACAGTGTCTGCAATCACCGCGTTTGCTAATGCCCCTGTTGCTGAACTACCTGCGCTCTGGAGGCAACGGAGGAGTAAAAGCGCAACGTAATTGCTTTGCAGCGCGAGGCCAATATTGGCTGCTATGAATACTATAAAGCAAATAAAGTATGCAGGCCGTCGGCCAGTGACGTCAGAGAACGTTGCGATAATCGTGGGTGAGATAGCCTGAACAATCTAGATAATTCTAGTTTTGAGTTGCACTAATCGGTATTGCAATATACAGTTTCTCTTGTGTGGAGCTTACCTACCATATACGAGGTAAGGGTCAGATTCATCAACGACAAAGATGTATGGAGATCAGTTGCCAGGGTATTCAAAGCAGGATAATAAATATTGCTGGCGAGCGGAGAAAAGCACGCAATCACAGTAACTGCGGCAATGATCCATTTTTTCGTTCGCAAATTAAAGATGGTATAGGGCTGTTCAGCTATCTGAATCTCTTCGTGTGCCTCATCCATCTTGGGTAGGTGCGGTGATTCCTTATTGTCACTGTGGACTGACATGTCGGAGGAGTTTTTGTATATCTGTCTCTAATGATCGTACTGCATTCGTCGCAAACAGGACGGAAAGCTGGACCGTAAGGTAGGGATGACTCAGGTATTCGGTATAACTATTGGGAAGAACTCTTCCTGACTCATTCGAAGGTACTAATAGGACGCTGTCGGAACAAAGCTGTTCCGATCAGCATGAGACACGCGCCGTATTATTCGGAGGAAGGGTTGATACAGCGCAGTCGGTAGACAGGAGCAGGACTCGAGAGTGGGCGGTCTAGTGTATCGTTTGATGTAGTTG